TCAATTAACAAGTACTAACAATACCGACATAATGACCTTGAACTTTGACTAGTGTGACTTTCGACCTGTCCGGTATGAGTTAGAAGATGGATGTTGGAGGAATTGTGACCCGAAATTAATATCAGTCCCGTGGTAAAGTGAGATTTCGCTAATCTGATTTTTAAAAGTTAAGATATATAATCTTTATCAGATTAAGATTTTAGAAAAATGAAAAACAAAATAATAATAACGTACATATACCTTATAATTTACACAGATTGACAGTCAGCTGTCTGTTATCAGTCTTGTTCTTTGTCTGATCTGTTGGTTTCGTAAGTCCGACATAGCAGGTGTTCATGAACATATTTTCATCATATACCAAACTCATAGTTCTGTTTTCAATAGACATCTCGCCTACATTCCCATAACCTTAGTTTAGTGTTGGTCAACAGTGAGTTTGTCAATAGTAGGTTGTATCATTCAAGCCTGACGCAACAAAGAAATACCATTGGTTTATTACAATCCGTGCCTAAAATTCAATTTCATTTTGCATGAATTATTGATGTAGTCAATTTCAAGTTAAAGGTAATGTATCACTTTTCAATGGCCAGAAAGAGGTCTGGTGTTTGCATAGAATTTGCCTTCGATAAGATACGCCGTCATTTTGTATGGGCGATTTATGTTCACATTTAAAATACAATTACACTCCACGGAAAGCGATTCGAGCTAGGTTAGCACAGCTTACAATATTTTTGACCGATGAATATATAATCGTGCGGTGATCAGGTGTCTTTCTTGTGACTCCTGAACTCAAACATACAGACGTCGCCCCTCAAAAGATTTCCTGATCATGTCAATAGATCGGGACGCCGCCCCTCCAGTGAACATCCGGTCACATCAACAGATCGCGACGTCGCCCCTCCAGTCATTACCCGGTCACATCAATAGATCGGGACTTTGCCCCCTCCAGTGAACATCCGGTCACACCAACAGATCAGGACTTTGCCCCTCCAGTGAACATCCGGTCACATCAATAGATCGGGACTTTGCCCCCTCCAGTGAACATCCGGTCACATCAATAGATCGGGACTTTGCCCCCTCCAGTGAACACCCGGTCACATCAACAGATCGGGACTTTGCCCCTCCAGTGAACATCCGGTCACATCAATAGATCGGTACTTTGCCCCCTCCAGTGAACATCCTGTCACATCAATAGATTGGGACTTCGCCCCCTCCAGTGAACATCCGGTCACTACAATAGATAGGGACTTTGCCCCCTCCAGTGAACATCCGGTCACATCAATAGATAGGGACTTTTCCCCCCTCCAGTGAACATCCTGTCACATCAATAGATCGAGACTTCGCCCCCTCCAGTGAACATCCTGTCACATCAGTAGATAGGGACTTTGCCCCCTCCAGTGAACATTCTGTCACAACAATAAATCGGGACTTTGCTCCCTCCAGTGAACATCCTGTCACATCAATAGATAAGGACGTCGCCCCTCCAATGGTTACCTGGTCACATCAATAGGTCGGGACTTTGCCCCCTCCAGTGAACATCCGGTCACACCAACAGATCAGGACTTTGCCCCTCCAGTGAACATCCGGTCACATCAATAGATCGGTACTTTGCCCTCTCCAGTGATTACCCGGTCACATCAACAGATCGGGACTTTGCCCCTCCAGTGAACATCCGGTTACTACAATAGATAGGGACTTTGCCCCCTCCAGTGAACATCCTGTCACATCAATAGATCGAGACTTCGTCCCCTCCAGTGAATATCCGGTCACATCAACAGATCGGGACGCCGCCCGTCCAGTGAACATCCGGTCACATCAACAAATCGGGACGTCGCCCCTCCAGTGAACATCCGGTCACATCAACGAATCGGGACTTTGTCCCCTCCAGTGAACATCCTGTCACATCAATAGATCGGGACTTTGCCCCCTCCAGTGATTAGCCGATCACACCAAGAGGTCGGACATTGACCCTCCAGTGAACATCCGGTCACATCAACAGAATGGGACTTTGCCTCTCCAGTGAAGATCCGGTCACAATAGATCGGGACTTTGCCTCTCCAGTGAACATCCGGTCACAACAGATAGGGACTTTGCCCCCTCCAGTGAACGTCCTGTCACATCAATAGATAAGGACGTCGCCCCTCCAATGGTGACCTGGTCACATCAATAGGTCGGGACTTCGATCTCTCCAGTGATTACCCGGTCACATTGATAGATCGGGACTTCGACCCTCCAGTGAACATCCGGTCACATCAATATGTCGGGACTTCGCCCCTCTACTCATTACCTGGTGATATCAGTAGGTCGGGACTTTGCCCCCTCCAGTGATTAGCCGATCACACCAATAGGTCGGGACATTGCCCCTCCAATGAATTACCCGGTTACATGAATAGGACAAGGAGCTCGTCCCTCCACAGAAATAAGCCGGACATCTCTCCGCCCTTGGGTTACCTGGTCACATCAATAGGCCGGGATATCACTCCGTCAGTGGTCACATCAATAGGTCGTCCCTCTATTGGGCACCTGACATTCGTCCCATCAGGGATTCAATACAACCAAGTCGGACAGGAAAGGCTGGGGTATAATTGAAACAGGATACTTGTATATCAAATATACCTGTCTAAGTTTGTAACCAGGGGGTATCAATATAATTTGCTGGTCTGTTTAGCAGAGAAAATTATTGAAGAACAGCTAGAGTGTGCTAGCTTAATCCTTACATTTTTATAATGGCTTGAGTAAATATTTCGTTGTTGAATTTCATGGAAAAGGGTAGTTAGCATCAGAATATTACAGTTTTACTGTAATGTAGCGTAATGGGATTATGTTTCATTTGAACATTACAAAGTGTCACAGACCAACCTAGCTGAGTTACACTCTTATCTCATGAAGTCCCGTGGTGTATTGGACAGGGTACTCTCCAATATGATCGTGGTACACTCCCTTATTACACATGAAAACATATGGTTATTACCTTTCTGACCACGCCTTTTTAAAATGTTTTTTCTCGCCTCTCAAGTAATGATGTTGTTCTTACATGATCTTACAGATTTATCACCCCACTCCCCCCTAACTCCTCCCTCACCTCCTAACCTCCTCTAACCCCTAACCCTTCATAACCCCCTAACCTCTCACCCCACCTCCTAACCCCCTCTCCCCCTCCCAAACCTACTCTCCCCGATCCGAACATTTCCATCGGAATCAACAACATAAAAGTTGTTTTATTTGTTGTAAGATAAATTTCGACAACAAACTGGTGGTTATAAGTTCGAGTAATCTATCGGCTTTATTTCCCTCGTGTTTACACCTTGGATGCTTTCCTTGGTAAAAGGCTCCATCGATCGCAACTCCAATTTCGCTATATCTTATTTTATTGTCCTGCGTAATGTGTAACTTTGGAGTGGAGACACAAATGTCAGACATTCTGACGGCCATTAAACATTATCTCGTGCTATAAAAAGGTCAACATTATAGTCTCGTTGTATTTACAAAGATCACCAGTCTCTCAAAGAGCTTATTAAAGGGAAGGTCGTAGACGATCTGACTTGGGGAATACATCTGATTTATTATACAGTTATACAATGCAAATACGTTGAAAAATTCTGACGTCCGAAACAGAGGTGAAAAAAGTAACTGATTAAGATCCGAAAGTTAATCCGGGGATTTGTACCGCAGTAGATCGTCACGGTCCGAGTGTACGCTTGACTGAAGCATTTGTATGTAGTCTGAAAGAGAAATATCACGATTATTTACCGGTGTTGCAAAATGGGCTAAAATATTCAAATCACAGGAGCAACAAAACTAGTAGTCAATCCTTCCATCCTGTACCCGGTTCAGATTCTCGCTGACAAACAATGACAGATTCGGATGGATATTACACATATTTCGACCCCCGCCGGATAAAACTGTTAATTACTCAGAGCCAAAATGTCAACAGCAACGTTCCATCGCCGCCATGTTGTCCCCTCCTGGTCACGCACTCGACAGCATTAAGATGACGTTAAAAACGTCGGTCAGTTGTTCTATAGCGGAAACAAAACACTATTATGATATTAGACGTTACATCGTAAACGCCAATGAGACAAGTGAGAAAGTGCCAAAATGATCATTACTCTTGGTTTAGAGGTTAGGGGGTGAAAGATTGAGGTTTTCTTGCTCAAGCCTGATAGTCTAATACAAATCTTTCGTCCTTATTTTCACAAATATTTGGAGAAAATTAAACCAAAATGTGAACGGGTCCAATTAAACAACCATTTTAGACACTAGAAATAAAAAGATATTAAAAATATTCTCAGATATTTAATGAAAATAACATAAAAGATTTTAAAGGAAAAATGTTTGTAAATTTTGATAAACAAGTATGGAGATCTAGTCCCTGAATAGATATGTATATGTACACAGTACGCTGTAACTTGTAAGTCAAGCACTTAGACAAACAAACTTGTTCTTAATACAATACACAGTGGGTCCAGTCAACATTCCTTGTTTTTGACTGGACAGGTGTGTATATATCGTAAGTACAAATGTAACTATATGATATAATTTACAGGTAAATACAGGTAACACAAGTACACCAATAGGTATTCAAGACATTCCACTTGTAGGCTAGCATAATATTGTTTTATCTAACCCAGGACGTGACGTCACACATTTTTAAGATTTGTGGCTTTTGTAATTGAGATTCACATAAATATTTTGTTTAGAACCACCTCTATACACTTAGTCACGAGGTCAGCGCGAGGCGTAGAAGTTTAACTTCCTTATAAGGATATAGAGAACGATATTATCTGAAATGTTATTAATTTAATCTTTTATGATCTCGTGTTGATACCGCTGTGCCTTTGTTGATATTGCATTTTTCGTCTGCTAAATTTTAATACTTTAACGTATTAGTGATTGGATCGATTCAAACACTTCTTTAACAGCGACTTGCCGTGCGTATTAACCAATCAGGGGAACGGTTTTAATCAGTTGTGAGGTCAGAGGTTATGCATGAATCACTGTGCCGTTAGACATATATATACTGCGGTTTCACAGTCGTCTGCTCAGTAGTGCTAAAACGTACACGTGTCTGTGACAACCTCTGAAATCCAGGAATAAGGGATATATTTGATATCATGCACAGAGCCGCGAAAAGTGGATTAGCCCGTGAGGCTCAAGAAAAGGTAAGGAAGATGTCATTATGCTCATGTCTCACTTCCCCGCCGGTTGTGCCCTGTGTCCGACATCTTTTCCGCTATTGGCTGGGAGGCAGCTGGAGGGGAAACACAGATGTGATTTAAATTTAGAACTCGGGATTAAAGCCAAACAGGTGCATGTGGCTTAATTAAGAACAAGTGTCTGTTTGTAATTTATTTTATTATATCAGAAAAAAATGTTGTCGGCATTCTGACGCCAAATGGGTTTATATAAGATCTTTTAAATACATCACCGTTTCAGTAGTAAACTTAACTGGATTAGAATAGTACTGGTGATATCTGAATCATGGCATTCAGAATCTGTCGGCCGGGAAAACGCCGTAGATCAGACGATCGCCGATTAAGATGGCTTATAAAGCCTCTCTAATTAACGTCTGCATTATATGATAATCTGCCTCGCCCAGAGTCTCGCTTATCCAATGCTTACGCCTTTCGAAAATTATCATTTCCATATAAAGGTGACACACCCATTGAGTCAACAGTGACGTTAGGTTTGTTTGTACTAGGGATGAGAAAAGGATATAAAGGTTCTCAGCAAGGAACCAAAGAATGTTGTTCAACACGTTTTTTATTAACTGCAAACATAACGTCATATTGGGCCATATAGACTAGCTGTGTACTCTGAAAATAGACAAAAAATGTCAGGAAATATTTCGATACGAAATACAAAATTTCTGATATCTGTGTATAGCATCTACATATATAATGGCGATAACATCGTTATGTGATGGTGTTAGTATTCTAATGGTTGTCTAGCTGTAGTGTATTTATACTTTATTTAGCATATTAAAACCTTATCTGGACAGAATCCAAGCTGGCTCGAGTTAAACTTGAGAATTATATCTCGGCCTCCGCGGTTTTTAAAAGATAGGACAAAACCATAGAGAAAATGATTGTACGGAGATTCTACTATTTTGTGTGAAACTAACAAAGCTTATAACGTTGTTTATCGATGGATGATAATATTGACAATGTTAAAAGGCCCCCGGGGGTCGGGCAGAGATTGTAGGTTGGTCCTTTGGGCTAAAGCCGACCTGATGAATACACAAGTGAACTTAGCATCGCGTTACGTCAGATTCGTGGTATGTTAAACCCCCGAATTTTACTGATAAGTGAAAAAGGCAGAATCTTGCTAGGTGAATGTTTTGTGTATAGGATGTGTATTTAAGGGGGTTGGCGAACGGTCGAGTATCAACAGGATTCACATCTAGCGTAAATCTGGCTGTGTTTATATGATAGTTAAAACTAAAACATAGACAAATATTTAGTAAGGAACAAATGAATAGTTATATTAATGAGGTGTTTATTTCTCAGATGTAGCAGAAGGATGAAAACATATGGTTCAAATTCTGTGATTGAAAATTGAAGGTCCAAGTTAAGTGTTATAAGTGGTAGTTCTAAATGGCCTAGTTAAGGTAATAAGTTATAGATCTACGGACCTAGTTAGTGTGATAAGTTACAGTTCTTACGGTCCTAGTTAGTGTGGTAGGTTATAGTTCTAAGGGTCCTAGTTAGTGTGGTAGGTTATAGTTCTAAGTGTCCTAGTTAGTGTGGTAGGTTATAGTTCTAACGGTCCTAGTTAGTGTGGTAGGTTATAGTTCTAACGGTGCTAGTTAGTGTGGTAGGTTATAGTTCTAAGGGTCCTAGTTAGTGTGGTAGGTTATAGTTCTAAGGGTCCTAGTTAGTGTGGTAGGTTATAGTTCTAAGGGTCCTAGTTAGTGTGGTAGGTTATAGTTCTAAGGGTCCTAGTTAGTGTGGTAGGTTAAAGTTCTAACGGTCCTAGATAGTGAGGTGGGTTATAGTTCTAACGGTCCTAGTTAGTGTGGTGGGTTATAGTTCTAACGGTCCTAGTTAGTGTGGTAGGTTATAGTTCTAACGGTCCTAGTTAGTGTGGTAGGTTATAGTTCTAATGGTGCTAGTTAGTGTGGTAGGTTATAGTTCTAACGGTCCTAGTTAGTGTGGTAGGTTATAGTTCTAGCGGTCATAGTTAGTGAGATAGTTTATAGTTCTAACGGTCCTAGGAAGTGTGGTGGGTTATAATTCTATCGGTCCTAGGTTATGACGGTTATGATAGTTTTGACGGAGTTGGTTTTTGTTATAAGTCATAGGTCTAAATGCCTTTGATATAGTTGAAAATATGGATCCTGCCTTCGTTATTGAAGTTATAATGATATGGAAGTTTCGACTTCGTAACGGTAAAACCTTCATGGTTTACGTTACACGGATGAATGATTAATGTCACTCGTGAATAAGCGAGACAGACCATGCGTGAACACCACACAATTTCCTTTAACCATCAAAACCGCTATATGCTCGGCACTGAAAATATGTATAAACACTTTCCTGTCAGTTGTGTTTCAAAGCAATATGTTACATAGCTTAATATTGTAGATTGATCGATAGAAGATCACAGGAGACACGTGCTCTGCATATAACTAGGTCAGATACAGCTAGACAACGTTCCGTTACGTTGATGCAACATTCTGCAACCACTTACAATCAATGGCAATTTGACACTTTTAACATTTCGACGGTCGTTCCTGCTCTCTACATGTCGTACATGTTGTTGTAAGCACGTATGTTGGGCTACCACGCCCATTGTCACGTGACATTGTCGTATGAGAGCAGACATCCTGTTGAATACATTTTAAGCATATAGATTCGTCACCCTCAAACGTCTTATATACCTCCTATATAAAAATCTACGCATGTGGTCCTGTTCACACACGGGTGGTGTTATAAAGCTCCTCAGTAAAATATATCGTCGAAATTCCTGGGGGATTCCGGTCAATCTATCATCACATCGTACATAGCAGATGCTACTTCCCGTTAACAATTAATGAAAGAGTCTTGGTTAGATATACATTTTATGTAAGGAGGGATCCATGAGAAAAAACAGGTTGTATTAGGAATCGAACTAGTTGGCGTGGATTTGTTTTAATCTGGCGCACTCCTCCTCCCCCTTCCGCGTTTGACCAATCACAAATGAAAAACGCCAAGATTTGAGTAAATTTAGTAGCATTTTTGGTAGATTATTGTATAAATGGACATAGCATAAAGATTACATCGAATCGATTTCAGCATGAAAGAAACTTTGTAGATTTTTAACAGAATGTGATTTTCAGTATATTCAGGTATATAGCTGTTGTATTTTTCAGGTTCACAGTAAATACTCTCCACAACTGGCTGGTGAAGTACTCCAATGGGTCCAACAGAACACCGGGGAGTCATTCAATACTGATGGTAAAATGGAGAACTTCTGTGATGTTCTGGAGGACGGATACATTTTGGGCATGTACGTAGTAGTCCTCGACATGCAGACACCCCACCCACCCATCCTCACATTTTCTAAAAGAAAATGCTCAGTGTTCTACATTGACTTTACTCTTACAAAAATTCCGTCAGAGGCATGTCTGAGAAATTCAGTTATTTCTCCTTTGGAATACAAACTTCTGTGCAGAGATCGCTATTCCTGTCCTTTATAAAGTAAGGGAAATAAGGGACTCAGTCCTGGGTCGGCAATCTGACGATAATTGTAGGAATGAAATCGTCGTTATGACATGCATGCCACAAACGGTTCGACATGTCCGTGGAGAGTATAACCTAGGGTTTAGAAGTTGTATATCTAGGGAGAATAACCCTTAAAGTTTGAAGTTGTATATCGGAAGAGCATGACCCTTGGTTTTTGAAATTGTGTTTTTAGATTGTAACCCTTTGGTTTCTGAGACTTTATTTCAAAACATCCCTTAGATTGTGAATTAGTATATCGAGAGTGTAACCCTAGGTTTTGAAGTTGATATCTGGAGAGTATAACATTGAATTCTAGATTTATATTTCAAAAGCTTGAGTCTTGCATTTTAGATGTTGTCTTTTGAAAGTTTGGCCATTAGATTTTGCCATTTCAAACCGAGAGAGTAAACTTTTGGACTTCTAAGCTGTTCATGGGAATATATAACCCTGGAGTTTTGAAGTTCTGTATCCAGAGTTTAAACCGCGGAATTTTGAAGTTGAATAGTTAGACATCAAACTTGTATTTGGAAAAGATAGAAGTAACACCATACATATTTTCACATTTCTGTCGTTTGTATTTGAAAATGAACCTCCTCCATATCCACCCATTGGGTTTTATATTTCTACTTTATATTATTTCAACGAACATTGGCGTTGTCAATTCTTTCCAAATTGAGGGATTTTTCTGCATCGGATACATTTTCAGGGACCAGTACGAGACTTTAGTACTCTGTACATTGAGATTTTCATCACAGGGACTTTTGTCATTCCTCAGATTAATTTCTTTTGTCGCTGCTTTTCAGTTACTTGTCACCAGCTTTGTTTTTGGTGATTTTTCTGGTATAATTACACTGCCACATTATTATGACTCCTCATAAAATCGCACTGGAAATAATACAAAAAATCAACTACTGATTTAAAAACTAATTGCTAACTTGGTATATTTTGTTTTTCTTTGTGTTGGTACAGTTTGATCACGAAACTTGGCTACACCAAAATATCTGCCTCTCTACTATCAAAACGACAAACTGCGCCCTTTAAAAAGATGGAACTTGTAGGAAAATTCATCGATGGAGTCCGAGCATTGGGCGTGGATGCTCACAACTCCTTTCAAACAGTTGATCTGACTGATAGAACGAACCCTAACCAAGTGGTTATTTGTCTGGACGCTCTTGGTAGGAAGGTATGCATTTAGAACATAATGTTAGGCAGATGATCAAAATATCGATGTCAGCTTGTTTTTATTGAAATACAAGTTAATGTCATTAATTCGATTTTTAATCAAACAAATTCAATAATAATTGATTAAATTAAAATGTATCTACACTGGGAAAGCTGTTAATTTTGTATTAAGAAAGAAAGTAGTTTAAATGTTTTCAAAACGATAAATGAATATCAGCAGATGAATATCTTCTTTTTAGTGATGCAGTCTAGATAAAAACCTAATATCTGCCAAATATAACACTGAGAAACAATTATATAATTACCGCGGCCATTTTTAATAGTACGCACGTCTATTTTTAGATGGGAACATTTGGAGTGAAGGAAGCTCAACAAAATAAGCGACAATTTTCAAAGGAACAACTTGATGCTGGGAAAAATGTTATCAGCTTACAGTACGGTTCGAACCAAGGAGCAACCCAAGCAGGACAAAACTTCGGATGTCAGCGACATATTTATGAACCAGAGAAAAAGCAGTAGAAATTTAAAAGCACAGAGCTTCAAATTTTAATCTGACACAAGGAAATACATTTTGCAAGAGTTATATGTCGAGAGAACATTTCAGTTTATACATAAACTTTGTCTTAAAGAAACAAATGTTCGGAGTTACTTCATGGGAGATTGATATTTTATACATGTGTTCATTAAGCCATCAGGTGGTACACATATGTGTTTTTTGGTTTGTACACGTGTGTATACGTAAACACTGGTGCTAAACGTAAGGGTGGAAGTGTATGTTTCTGTAAACTGTCGCAGAACACGTGATGCATGTGTACATTGACACTCATGTAGTCGGACATCCGTTCTGAAGAGGAGCACAACAACATCTTGGCCGATAAGAGGAGAAAACGGTCTAAAAACTTGAAACGCTTAAGAGACGTGCGTAAGTTGACGGGAGAGTGTGCGAGAAAATGGGGAGATATACTTGGAAACATATTCGTTCAGTTGACCAATGCCTTACAAGTTCTTCATATTCTACATGTTGCCTTCTCCATTTGGGGACCAAAGTCATCACTTAACTTGTTACTTACATTTAATAGAAATAAAGATGCAATTTGAAATGCCTCGTGTTTGATTTGTGTATCGTCCATGATACCGGATGTGTTGTATTATTAGAAAGGTATTTTAGTCCACTCTCTCTAAGTTTAATGCCGGCGTGTGTAGATATTACTTGTCAACTCGGTAAAATCAAATCGAGTCGTTCCGTTTAGCAGACGCCGAATGTGAACATTCAGGGAAGTTCCTTAATGATAAAGGTAAACACATATTTCCGGGTTCGTGATAAAATACGACTTCTACCTAGATCTGGTGCTACAAAGCACTTCCCTGGTTGTAAATAAATAGTTTTTCACAAAGTTGTTAAAAAACATATATAGATAGACAGAGAGAGACATATTTATACTTGGGTCACGCGGTATCCGCATTTCAACTCGCTTTTATACAAATTCAGTTTGAAATATTAACATGTGTAAACCGTAAACATCAGTGAAAACCTGATTAATTTTGATTTTTTGGCACATTTCACAATAGCGAACTCTTGGTAAGTACTCTATCTTAAGCTGATGGAGCTTAGTAAAAAATGGCTCTTAAAAAACCGTGACGTTTAATTGGCCAGTCCTGACAATGGAATAGAACCGACATTTTCTAATTATGTTGAGAATTAGAAGCCATTTCCATTGATCGAACACTGGGTAAATCCTTTCTAAATGAAGACGAAGCTCGTTATTCTTCCCGTAGGCAATGTTTAACCTAGCCAAGAAGTATGTGAAACTCAAAACACACCCTTTTTGGTGACGTAGGAACTGTCTGCGTGCATCGTAGAAATAAGAGTAGTTGTGTGTAATTTGTTTGTGTGTAGGGGGGTGTCTTACTGAATGAATAACTTTACCGTTAAAATGGGTTTTTATAATCCGGTAAAATTAAACTTAAAAATGTGAAATATATAGCTCACTGGCCTATAAATAACACAGCAGTTTGTCACTGCTTTAGATGAATGCCCACTGCGTGTTTCGGATGGACGTACGAATGTCCTTCACAACTGTGCGAGTACATGGCAAACAAGCACTAGAAATTGAAAAAATGAAAATGGACATGAATATCGACATCAAGGTGTTAACATTAGGAATATCGACATCAAGGTGTTAACATTAGGAATATCGACACCAAGGTGTTAACATTAGGAATATCGACATCAAGGTGTTAACATTACGAATATCGACATCAAGGTGTTAATATCGACATCAAGGTGTTAACATTAGGAATATCGACATCAAGGTGTTAATATCGACATCAAGGTGTTAACATTAGGAATATCGACATCAAGGTGTTAATATCGAGATCAAGGTGTTAACATTAGGAATATCGACATCAAGGTGTTAACATTAGGAATATCGACATCAAGGTGTTAACATTAGGAATATCGACATCAAGGTGTTAACATTAGGAATATCGACATCAAGGTGTTATCGTCTACAAAGAGGAAGATTGCTGTTTGTAACGCGGTGTAAATTATTTGTATGAAGTCAGGAAATTTATATTGTCGGTTTTAGCTGACCCGAAACGATGGCCATGAACGACGGCATATCAAATCGCAACTTTAATTGAAAGAGACCAATATATTTTGTATATGGAGGTACTTTTTTGTGCGTACAAATAAAAGTTGCACTGTATTACAAAGGAGGTGTTATCACGTAACTTTGCTGTATAGGAATGGGAGGTTTTTATAACCTTGATATTTTATAGCAAAACAGGGCTATGCATTTAAAAGAAATATGCTACTAAAACGAGAAGACTGGCATGTATTTTACAATTTTAACATGGACAACATATAGGACCTTTACAGCATTGTCGAGGAATACCAAGCAGAGGTTTACTGCATATTGAAATTACGTATCAAATATCATCTTGGCGTCGGGAGGCAGAATCAATAATTATTATACGGAGTATTTTTTCTGATCAATACAACAACAATGAAAAACCCGTGACATTTACATGTACTGCTCGTAATGTGTCGCTAGCAATAACAGAGCTGTGTGGAAATTATTTGTGTGGGAGAAAATCATTAGTCGAATGCATTCCGTAGACACAGGGGATTGCAAACCAGGTGATGTTGTTTTGATTTGTATTTACGTGTTAGCACTTTTCCTACAGGGTTTGGAGTCAGTTACAAATTAGCGTAAATTGATATTTACAAGAGTAATGAAATTATTTGTATATGAATATCTGTTGATTCAGCAAACAAGAACTGCCATTTAATAATGATAAGTATATCTCTTTATATCAACTGGTACATCACTATAACTCGGATTATATCACATAACAGATATAACGTACGGGTACATTACTACAATATCTATATCGTAATAACTAGGATTTAAGATAACCAGTATTGAACTGGTATCTGGGATGTCTTCATCCTAGAATTAGGATTAAGACCAAACGTTAAGTAGGAAATCCATTCCCGGTACATGACGACATCATTGAAGTAACTGGTACGGTGTCAGGATTAGTTCTATAATCGATACAATATCTGCTCCCTCCCCTCCTCAGTCATTAATAAATGTAGAACCGAATGACAAGCATCCATTGGTCGACTGTAGGATGACATTGTCGTCAAATGGCAGTTATTATTATATTCATGCTTGACGCGGTGACATTTTACATATTGAGCAATGTTTTAGCTAAATATCGTAAGAGTAGTTTCCCTTTGAAAATAAAATCTATAAGCGTTTTGATATACCGTCAGAGTAATCTCCCCTCGGATACAATCAAAACCGAGCGTATAAAATAGCGTTTAAAGTGGGGTTATAGCCACGTGATCTTAACTATATATACTAAACAAAAAAAGACAGGTAACACCACTTTATTCTGTGATTAATTAATTAACCCCTTCATAAATCCTTACCAATCATGTACGAATAAAGTAATTGATCAATTCTGATAAAACTGCAGTCATGGTTCATTATAAAACTTTGCGTTCAGTTGATTTTATTCGACTGTAAAGACGTTGGGGTCAGTTTCAAAGGTAACACCATTAGTAACGGGTATGGCCACCGTTTGCGAAGTAAACAGCATTGCAGCGTCGTCGCATAGAACTCGTAAACCGGCGGATAATTCGAGGAGAGATGTTGTTCCATTCAGCGATCAAGATTTGGGCCAGCTCCTGCAAGTTTGACGGCTGATTTTGACGTTCTCTCACGCGTCGCCCAAGAACGTCCCAGACATGCTCAATCGGTGACAAATCAGGTGATTTAGATGGCTGGTGTGCGCTGGTGCGTTATCCTGTTGAAAAATGGCGCCAACGCCATGGCGTCTTAAGAATGGCAGAACCACTGGTCTTAAAATTTCGTCCCGATATCGAATGCCGGTTAAATTGCCACTTAACACAAAAAGCCTGGTACGAGTCCCCCCACAAATACCACCCCAAACCATTACACTTCCGCCGCCAAAGCGGTCCCGTTCTGCGACGCAGCAGTTCGCAAAACGCTCCCCTCGTCGCCTCCACACTCTGCGCCTTCCGTCACCGTGTTGCAGACAAAACCTGGACTCATATGAAAATAGAACATTGTTCCATTGTCGTAAGGCCCAACGACGGTGAACACGGGTCCAGTTACGCCGATTATTACGGTGACGTCGCAACAAATTGGGTCCAGTGCAGGGACGCCGCGCTTTCAATTGGTAGGCCCTCAACCTGTTACGGACTGTTTGGGGAGACACACGACGCCCAAACAATGTCCTTGTAGTCTCTACTGCGGTTACTAATCGATTGTGCAAGTGTATCAATCGTATACGACGGTCGTTTTACGGGGTCGGCCGCTTCGGGGACGATCGGATGTTGACCCAGTTGCAACCAAAATGCCGTGCAACTCGACGGCGAGACTCCCCAGCCTGGATCGTGCCTACAGCCCTTTCTCTTTGTACTTGTGACAGCCGGGGCATAATGATAAAGTTGATAGATAGCAAGATTCGGTGATTTCTAAGTCCTAAGGATCTAAGGAACAGTTGTCAGTTTGAATGTTTATGAAATTCAAGCGAAGATACAAGTTAGTCGCAGCTCTTTCGCTAATACAGACTTTCACGCTTGAATGATTTTGGTAACCCCCTTGGATTTTGTAATGTAAAACATTACCATTTTCTAATATTGCACAAACGTCATTTTGTTTTCACTCATTTACAGGTATTCGCCAAGGAAACATGTTAACCTTTCTTTTTTTGTTGAGTATATATATCCCTTTCAATAATAATGCTTCAAAAATTACAAATTAGCATATAATTTTCATCAATTGTAAACAAAACATAAAACACAAACAAATTTCTTCTGTGTCTACCTTAGTAGCAATTTACTGCAAAATAATCGGCGTAGAGTCATGGAAACACCAATATCATTGCCACCATAAGCAGATTCTATCATGGTATTATTAAGTCGTTTACTGCGAACTTTACCATACAGCTTGGTCGTTTCAACTTACACGTATATCGGAATAAATATTTAGACTCCAGACAAGGTCGATATCTTACCATGGTAACTTACAACGAATGACAGCAATTTCGATATGGAAAAACTCTTCCTATATGACCAATCTCCTTTACAGAGAAGAAAGGTAGAGATACTGGAACCCTCGAATTTTACAGATGTGATTGGTCCTTCATCTTTTTCAACAGTTGAACACAAAATGTACATTACGATGATCAATTTTTACAGAGTTTAAGTCTCAACACACTTCAAACGCTTAAAATGCAAATGAGATAATGAATTTTATAAGCCGGATGATGCTAAGAAAACAAACAGCTTTCAGACACCTTTTAACTCAGGAGATAGCTATACCTTGAACATTATTTTAAGGTTTCCTTGTTTGGTTGTGAATGGATCAAGGAAATATGATTCATTCACCGCCTCAAACTCCCAGCAGAACATTTAACCATTTTTTAAAAAAATTGATGATATTATATACATGCAAATTAAATGAAATATAATACATTGTTTGTTAACTTATTTGCTAGCATTGGCTGACGGAAAACAAGTTGAAAAGTTTAATCCGCAGCTGCATATCTGCCAAATGGAAACAAAATCAAACACAAATGAAATGTGCCCTATGATCCAATATTTTCATACAAGTTAGATTGTTTATGTACACTTATTTTATTGGAATATTTATATACATGTAAACATCTACAGTCGGCAAATCAAACCGTGTAACACATAAATACGTGACTGAATATAACAGATTTGAGAAGGTTTTCGAAACGCTAATGATGAAATACTTTCGTGATTTTCTGACTGTAATGATACTTCGTAACTATTACAAATAAACATGATTTTAATCAGCTGATACCGAGTGGAACTTGATTATTTTGGAATCCAGAAAAATAAACTAAAAATAACTTTTGTAGAATCTATTCTACATGATGCCTCCCAGTTCCCTAATCCAGTTCACCAGATTCCTGTATATGACCATCAAGTTTACTGTAATTTATGGGAGCTGGAATAAACTCCCATATTCTAAAATAAGCGATAAACATATTAACTTGACATTTTACTGTGGTAGAACATTTCTCATGAAAATGTATATATTGTCTAAAGATATGGAACGCATTAATTAAGTATCCAATCTTTCGTACAGCGATAAATACTACTTACACTGGCGCATAATTCTCTTTTAATTTGATGACATGAACACGTATCGGTTAGGTGATTTCTTTATCCTGTTTGATACACCGACATGAATCCTCTATCTTACGGACATAAATGACATTCAACAGAGAAATAAAATATCCATTGCTAATTCAGTTAAATTTGAAGGTCGTTTGAAAGGTCAAAAGGGTCACACATAGAACTGTTCGCTCCTTTGGCAGCTGTAAACATATCAATATCATAACACCAACAGGCCGTGTTAACACACATATGTCAAGGTCACGACCAGTGGTCACGTGTCAAGATAATGTACCAAACAAAATAACAAGGACATATATGCTATGTGATGATGTTGAACATGTAGGACAATAGACTGAAATTCACAAAATGGTCACGTGCCACGGTCGGTGCAGACAAGGTCACATACAAAGGTCATGTACTATAAAAGTTCACTAGTAGGGTCAGTCTATGATCATCCTCTGTTTGCCGAAGTTCAGGCCAGCCTGGGTGGCGCCAATGTTAGTGCCGTACTGGAGACTAATGGTTTGTTTACTAGCCTGCAGTTGTTCTTCCGAAAAAGTCCGCTTGTTCTCCTTGGCTTTCTTTGGCCAAATACATGGCCAACGATAATCTGGTCTCGTCTGTGCCTGGAAACACAAGTTATATCATAGTTATCTGCCCTTGTTTCTGTTGTCAGGAATAACAGTGAGGTATCCACTCGTAAATGAATGAAATTGGTCTCCTAGAATACGAGAATATCAGCTGTATTAATGGCTACCCTAGAAAATGTCAAACCCAGTCTGTATCGATCATATAGAGTATTACCATTCAGGAATTTTGTTTTGAATTGAATGTTGTTTCGATTATGATTGAATGATCTGTTTTTTCACAAACCAGTCCCTCAAGTTTTTGATCAACTGAGTCTCTATCAGAGAATTATATTAAACATTTTCGGGTTCAAGTTATCGTCATATTTCTATCTTATAACAGGTATTTGATATTATCATATGATTTTTACTTTGGTTTTAACAGAGTGTAAAATATTCAAACTGTCTTTCAAAAAGAACGTTGCAAACAACATAGTTTGATTTGATTCAATGACGTGATAAAGTCTTTTTTTAGACTATGTTTGATGAAATCATTAAATTATATAACTCAGTAATTAGTCAACACGGAAACATCGGGGATTTCCGTCATCAAATTTGTTCGGTGTTCGAATGAATGGCGGAAGTACTCAAAACAGTTTCACGCCGGAAAAGTTCATGCAATTTCTGTTTGCGCTTATTTTTGGTAGGTGGTGATATGTGAGAGTCACGAAACAGATTCCAGAAATCCCCCAGACAATGGACGACTACCTGGGCAATTAAGTTCTATTGACGAGAAGGATTCCAATCTCTCCCCCGATACACGAAGGATGGTTATAATGGAACATCTACCAAACTACGCCTATATGTCGCTTTAAACTAACGTATTCACCAAGAAACAGATAAAGTCAAGAAACGTTATCGCTGTAGTGAAGCTATACATTCACACATGCACACAAGTTTTGGAATGTCACTTCGAGGCAGTTTTAATTTGTAACCGAAGCGATCTAGGTTCGACCTCACTACGATAACATTGTATCAAAATACATCGCATTCCATTAGCGACTCCTTTACTACGCTACTTACGAGAGGAGTTGTGAATTGTGCTATTCATTAGTGAAGTTTTTATCTAAATTGCCCTGGAAGGTTTGATAAGCGAGCATACCGATATGTATACTATATATACAAGTAATGACTCATTGTGAAAACAGCCCCCATTGTCAGCAGTTTACGTCAAATACATAAAACATGGTAATAGGTATAATTATATACAATAATAATACCGTAGTTATTGCATTAAAATACCCGATAATACAATCATTAAGAAATATTAACACCAAGATCTTGGTTGATAACTGGTCTAAACGGCTCAGCCACACAAATAAGATCATACACGCACAGGGTCGCGCAACAGAAATACAATGCATGTAAGTTCAAATATGATTTTCATCTGCTTGCTTGTTCTTAGTGTGATTGTCTTACTGGTTGATAAAATAATTTAAAGCTTATTTACTGCTAGAATTTTGTTTTATTTGTTTGTTCTTGTTTTTATTACTACCTACGAATTGTTTCTTTTTGTTTTTCAATGCATACGAATCACACGAAATAATGAATATCCGTCCCCTTCTCTGAGCCTGGAAGAGGGATATTTGTGCCCGTCTATGTTATCTATATGATACATTGTACAAGTTATCATGTTAACCATATATAGAAAGGGTTATATTAGTCTATAATTTAAGAACAAAGTATAACTTCAGTTGATGTATTTCAATTAAAGTAAAATTGAACAGTTCATCGATTTCGGTATATACTGTAGAATAATAATATTACCTATCTTTAGGGGGTATTGTATACACTATATATGTCTGAATCATCCAGGCTTACTAATACATGTACATTTTTGTATACCACTTCAACAATAAGGAATTATTCTACAACCCTGTAACAGAATACCCAAGTACTTATGTGACTCTGCACATTCTGCACGAAAATGCGATAAACTTATGCTAGTATGTCAAAACTGCATGACCCTAAACTCGTGAGTTATTTTTAACCATTGATTCTTCACCTTTGGTGATTTTATTATTAACCCCGAGAGCTGATCAGAAATACAAAGAAAATATATGTTTAGGGTTCCCCCTATCAAGTCCTTTTTCAGTCTTGCCAACTCTTGATCAGTTTCTTAGCCTTTTCACTAAATTTCTCTCTTAGTTAACAGTCAGTGTCATATTGAGGTAGTCTCTTTGTAGTAGCCGATCGCTACCTCAATGACAACTTACGAGAGACACGTCGCATATTTTCCAATGAAAAGTCAGATAAAGTAACTTGCCGAAATACACGAACATAACATCACAGATCAATCTCATTTTCAGCTTTATGTGGAAAACAATCAACGATATGAAGCGTCGAACTACGCATCTCGGATCTTCACTTGAACTACGCATCTCGGATCTTCACTCGAACTACGCACCTCGGATCTTCACCATAACCACACACCTCGGATCTTCACCCGAACCACACACCTCGGATCTTCACTTGAACCACGCACCTCGGATCTACACCCGAACCATACACCTCGGATCATCACTCGAACCACACACCTCGGATCTTCACTCGAACCATACACCTCGGATCTTCACCCGCACCACGCACCTCTGATCTTCACTCGAATCACACACCTCTGATCTTCACTCGAATCACACACCTCGGATCTTCACTTTAACCACGCACCTCGGATCTTCACTCGAACCACGCACCTCGGATCTTCACTTTAACCACGCACCTCGGATCTTTCCTCGAACTACGCACCTCGGATCTTCACTTTAACCACACACCTCCGATCTTCACCCGAACCACGCACCTCGGATCTTTACTTCGGATCTTCACTCGAACCACCTCGGATCACCTCTGATCTTCACTCGAATCACACACCTCGGATCTTCACTCGAACCACGCACCTCGGATCTTCACTATAACCACGCACCTCGGATCTTTCCTCGAACTACGCACCTCGGATCTTCACTTTAACCACACACCTCCGATCTTCACCCGAACCACGCACCTCGGATCTTTACTCGAACCACGCACCTCTGATCTTCACTCGAACCACACACCTCGGATCTTCACTTTAACCACACACCTCGGATCTTCACTTTAACCACACACCTCTGATCTTCACTCGAATCACACACCTCGGATCTTCACTTGAACCACGCACCTCTGATCTCCACTCGAACCACACACCTCGGATCTTCACTTTAACCACGCACCTCTGATCTTCACTCGAACCACACACCTCGGATCTTCACATTAACCACACACCTCGGATCTTCACTTTAACCACACACATCTGATCTTCACCCGAACCACGCACCTCGGATCTTTACTCGAACCACGCACCTCGGATCTTCATCCGCACCACGCACCTCTGATTTTCACTCGAATCACACACCTCTGATCTTCACTCGAATCACACACCTCGGATCTTCACTTTAACCACACACCTCTGATCTTCACTCGAACCACACACCACGGATCTTCACTTTAACCACACTCCTCGGATCTTCACTTTAACCACACACCTCTGATCTTCACTCGAATCACACACCTCGGATCTTCACTTGAACCACGCACCTCGGATCCACACCTCGGATCTTCACTTTAACCACGTACCTCTGATCTTCACTCGAACCACACACCTCGGATCTTCACTTTAACCACACACCTCGGATCTTTACTCGAACCACACACCTTGGATCTTCACCAGCACCACGCACCTCGGATCTTCACCAGCACCACGCACCTCAGATCTTCACCCGCACCTCACACCTCCGATCTTCACCAGCACCACGCACCTCCGATCTTCACCCGAGGTTACATATGTCAACGCTCTAACCAACCGAGCCATGATTTTAGATATGTTCATTTCCAATACAACTACATGATAAATAAACGACGAATCAAGCAAACAATACAAACCTCGATCCCGATAGCTCTGATACACGTACACACTTGGACGAGGTTGGTCCGTTCATACAGATAGTCAGTTTGAAATGAACTTGTGCATGAAATTCCATAGTCTCGAACCTTCTCCAGAAATATTCCAATTCTTTCTCTGGCGCGAGCAGACGCAAAAGCTACAGTGTTCGTAGGTTGAAATGCTTTTACGGAAAAGTCTAACTTCCGGTCTCGGGGCATGAGTGTGTCAATAAATCTGGGAAAGCAAAAGAGAAGGGAAGGCAACGCTTGAAGCATCAACACAGATACTGACAAAAAAAGTATTTGGTAATTTAGCCACTCAACTATCCGAATGTGTATCAACATCTCAAACAGCCATTCAATAAATCAATATTATTCAACTAAATGTCGTCATCATTAATTATTATCCCCCAAACAGATGTTACAGGTTTTGAAAGGTTAACTTTGACCTCTACCTGCACAAGACGGTTCCATCCTTAAGTATTTCATAGAAATGATTCATCATCATCTTTTTGTCGTCATGGTTTTCGATTTGCAGATCCTGACCAATCAAAGTTTGTATCCAGTCCAAACATTTGTAGGCCTCATGTGTGTCGAATGTTGCGTCTATCTGAAAGCCAGGAAACATAGAAATAAGGTCAAGGTTATACAGTCATGCAGCTTTGTCTGGTTATGCAATATAAATCTGTATACCACACATACAGGCAATGTCAGTGACTCTCAAATCTAAAACAATAAACCAACTCTTAAAAAAGGGAGGGGCAAACAAACAAAACCAAAGTGATGACATCATGTACTGCTGTTAGTGTGGAAACCTGTAATCTCTCACAGAATTCACTGCAGTGACCTACATAACATTCCCGTGTATTGTGACTGTAAGGAACGACAACTCTAGAAAAGATTGGAAAATATGTTCAAAGTCAAACCCGTCTGAAATTCAAAAAGTAATTATAACTTGGCAGTATCTAAAAGTTGATGATGTGACCATAGAAGTCAAGGCGGACAATTTGATTGGTTAGTTACTGAAAGTCCTATACAGCTGTTATCCAATGAAATCATGACATGAGTTAGACTGAATGGATGTGATTGTGTAGATAAAACATAGCGGACTAGCGGAGGTAGTAGGAAGGTAATATGGAGGGGGGGGGGGGGGGGGGGGGGAAGGCAAACAGCTTTTTCTCATTCAGCTTTGCGCAGTGTTAACATATAAGTTTTAAAGGCAATTACTGAAGTTCGTCTTTGATAAACAAGCAAGATTGTTTTGTTTTTTTTCTTCAAATTAGTGAAGTTCGATATCTTACGACAACAAATCGTGCTCAAACAGGAACAAGGGGCCATATTTTATCGACGACGTCTTATAACTTGCTAATCAAGGTATCTGTAAATGTACAGCGGTACGTTAAGTGTTTACAGGTTGTTGACCTACACGTGTGCGTTCTGTGAACATTTCATGCTGGATTTTGCTGCAAGTTTGTTCTTGCATGCTATTCGGTAGTCACAATAAAAAATTCAGAATGACGTAAGATGATAACGTCATGTTCATATGCCGTTTAGGATTTTTACCCTGCACTAATACAAGACAACGCGATGTGTGTAAACATCCATGACGGTTACATTAAGGGTTTTGGTGTGTATGTATTGCCGATCGATTGCTATAGTGACGAGAAGAGCATCCAATGGGGTTTTGACCTTTGCCAATGAATGAATCTGTAACCTGGCGACCTCCTGTCGTGTGATCGGATCAGTTGGCTAATACCACAATAAATGAGAATTTTGTTTATTTTTCCCGCAATTGAATATCCTCATAATGGCTTAGGTCATGGATGTCATACAGTCGAAAATAAAATAAAATATCAACCAGGCTCAATAGGTTCAGCAGATCAATTCACGCTTACAAATGAATAACCAACAGAAGTATCCCCCTCTTCTCGATTATGTAAACAGCGTTAGACGTCTCAAACAAAATGAAGTGAAAGTGAGAAATAGCAGATACCTGTGTATCCGATTGTAACATAATTGTTGTAATGTAACCTCAATTTGTCCGCACTTTTAATTTCATCAGCGATTATCCATTTGTACAGACCCGTTTGGACGGCCTAATGACTGGTTTTGTGGAGGTCGTGTCTGCTACTGATTTACGAGTCTGCTGTAAAACGACTAGAAGTGGGGTATTTTATCCGTCAACGTCGTGTTTTACGAGATATGATGGCGACAAGGCGCACTTGGCTGTTCAATAGGCTCTGTCATGCACAGTTTCAACTGTCATTCTTCTGTAGTGTCGTTGAAATGGATGTTATGGGTTGTAAAGCATCATTGACCTTAAATACGTCGGTTTAATATCAAAGAATGTAGATATTGACACTAAAACCAAATATAGTATTGAGATATGGAATGAAATGCGTCCGTTGTCACTTCCGGTATAAATGCACTATCATTTTTGTATACAAATTCCAACGGTATTGTGTTGAATGTAATAGAAAGGCGATGTCAAGATTACATTTAAGATCCCTCACCAAAGTCCTACATACATGTATAGCGATTAGCGTACATAATATATGTATGGAACACTATACCCCAGGTTGTAACAGAATACTGAAGTGAGAGGCATTAAAACTGTACTGTGTAGGACATGTGTTAAATGCATGCACACTTTGCGAAACAAGCATGTCTTAATTGTGGTAATGATGGGACAGTTTTAGTTCAAGTTATGGCAAATCTAATTTGTTTAATGTAGGTCATAAGTCACGGTCAAGTCACATGGCCACCGGTAAGGTCTTGTCACAAGGAACACACATGCCAGACATGAAAGCTCCACCTCTTACGGTGCAATAGTTATGGGCAAGGATTAAGTTGACAACTGATACAAACAAACAAACAAACAAACAAACAAACAGCACAAACACAATATGCTCCCGATCTTTCGATACGAGGACCTAACAATAGTACATAGATATATTGATAAGCACATCGTTGTTAATGTTTTCCTCTTTTTTTTAAATAAAAAAAGGTCGATATTTACATACGGGAGTTATTGAAATTGTAACACAAGATTAAAACTAGATACAAACGAGTTTCGACAATGTTCACATAGGTCAATAAAATAGAAAAAAAATCAACAAAAAACACAGATTCCGACTGTAAAACTTTCCAGCTAATCAACTACTGGAAAATCTGTTGAATAATTTTCTCGTCATCTGTCGATATCTTTCAAATCAACACCAAATCGACACTGGTTGGACAAGCAGAGTATTACCATCAAGAAATGGAAAATTTGCGATGAAGAAAATTGAAATAGTAACGCGTATGATACTGTAATGTAGATGGGAGTGTGATAAAATAAAAGTGAATTGGCACAAATATATCATGTAATAAAGCTAAAACCACATGAAACAAGGTAGCTTGCCTCCATAACCGAGATATATTACTAGTACAAATAGCATGCATTTTCATTCAGACGAATCTTACCGCAGACTGTATCCCATAAACCAACTCTCGTGATGCTTTTCGCAAATTCATTGCTGAATGAAATTCATTTATTGAAAAATATAATTAATTTGGATAATGAGTTGCTGAAGGAATCATACCAACCCGGAATTTATGAACGACAAAACACCTCTATATCCCCCACCCCACCCCCACCCCCGATTGCCGTAATTTTTACCGAAGATATACCATAGGTTTCCAAGTTTTCATGAAGTATTTGGCGCTCTGGTCCCACACCAGACAACTGACGATCAAAATGTCTATTGTCGGGATCGGTGGTCTGAGGAAACTCTGGTTATACATGTCGATATTTTGTGGAGAAATCAAATCAATTAAATAACGGCACCAATCGAGGCCAAAATCCTACAGAACATTTTAAAATATAGAGACTAATTATAACATATACAGACTAATTATAACACATACAGACTAATTATAACATATAAAGACTAATTATAACATATTGAGACTAATTATAACATACAGACTAATTATAACATATAGAGACTAATTATAACATAGACAGACTAATTATAACATATAGAGACTAATTATAACATATAGAGACTAATTATAACATATACAGACTAATTATAGAACACAGACTAATTATAACATATAGAGACTAATTATAACATATAGAGACTAATTATAACATATAGAGACTAATTATAACATAGACAGACTAATTATAACATATAGAGACTAATTATAACATATACAGACTAATTATAGCATACAGAGACTAATTATAACACACAGACTATTATAACATATAGAGACTAATTATAACACACAGACTAATTATAACATATAGAGACTAATTATAACATATAGAGACTAATTATAACATATACAGACTAATTATAACACATAGAGACTAATTATAACATATAGAGACTTCTTATAACATATAGAGACTAATTATAACACCTAGAGACTAATTATAACACATAGAGACTAATTATAACACATACAGACTAATTATAACACATACAGACTAATTATAACATATAGAGACTAATTATAACACATAGAGATAACACATAGAGACTAATTATAACATATACAGACTAATTATAACATATACAGACTAATTATAACATATACAGACTAATTATAACATATAGAGACTAATTATAACATATAGAGACTAATTATAACACATAGAGACTAATTATAACACATAGACTAATTATAACAAATAGACTAATTATAACATATAGAGACTAATTATAACATATAGACTAATTATAACATATAGAGACTAATTATAACACACAGACTAATTATAACACATACAGACTAATTATAACACATACAGACTAATTATAACATATACAGACTAATTATAACATATAGAGACTAATTATAACATATAGAGACTAATTATAACACATACAGACTAATTATAACATATACAGACTAATTATAACAAATACAGACTAATTATAACATAGACAGACTAATTATAACATATACAGACTAATTATAACACATAGACAGACTAATTATAACACATACAGACATATAACATATAGAGACTAATTATAACACATACAGACTAATTATAACATAGACAGACTAATTATAACACATACAGACTAATTATAATATAGACAGACTAATTATAACACATACAGACTAATTATAACATACAGAGACTAATTATAACACATACAGACTAATTATAACATATAGAGACTAATTATAACACATAGAGACTAATTATAACATATACAGACTAATTATAACATATAGAGACTAATTATAACACACAGACTTATTATAACATATACAGACTAATTATAACATAGACAGACTAATTATAACACATAGAGACTAATTATAACACATAGAGACTAATTATAACACATACAGACTAATTATAACACATACAGACTAATTATAACATAGACAGACTAATTATAACATAGACAGACTAATTATAACACATACAGACTAATTATAACATATAGAGACTAATTATAACAATTATAGAGACTAATTATAACATATTGAGACTAATTATAACAGAGACTAATTATAACATATACAGACTAATTATAACACATACAGACTAATTATAACATATACAGACTAATTATAACACATAGAGACTAATTATAACATACAGAGACTAATTATACATATAGAGACTAATTATAACATATACAGACTAATTATAACATATACAGACTAATTATAACACATACAGACTAATTATAACACATACAGACTAATTATAACACATAGAGACTAATTATAACATACAGAGACTAATTATAACATATACAGACTAATTATAACATATACAGACTAATTATAACATACAGAGACTAATTATAACACATAGAGACTAATTATAACACATAATTATAACAGAGACTAATTATAACACATAGAGACTAATTATAACACATACAGACTAATTATAACACATAGAGACTAATTATAACATATACAGACTAATTATAACATATACAGACTAATTATAACACATACAGACTAATTATAACACATACAGACTAATTATAACACATAGACTAATTATAACATATAGAGACTAATTATAACACATACAGACTAATTATAACATATAGAGACTATTATAACACACAGACTAATTACAACATATAGAGACTAATTATAACACACAGACTAATTATAACACATACAGACTAATTATAACATACAGAGACTAATTATAACATATTCAGACTAATTATAACACATACAGACTAATTATAACACATACAGACTAATTATAACACATAGAGACTAATTATAACACATACAGACTAATTATAACACATACAGACTAATTATAACAGACTAATTATAACATATAGAGACTAATTATAACATATAGAGACTAATTATAACATACAGAGACTAATTATAACATATAGAGACTATTTATAACATATAGAGACTAATTATAACATATAGAGACTAATTATAACATATACTAATTATAACACATACAGACTAATTATAACACATATAATTATAACACATACAGACTAATTATAACACATACAGACTAATTATAACACACACAGACTAATTATAACACATTATAACACACACACTAATTATAACACATACAGACTAATTATAACACACAGAGACTAATTATAACACATAGAGACTAATTATAACACATACAGACTAATTATAACATATACAGACTAATTATAACATATACAGACTAATTATAACACATACAGACTAATTATAACATAGAGACTAATTATAACATATAGAGACTAATTATAACATATAGAGACTAATTATAACACATACAGACTAATTATAACATATACAGACTAATTATAAAATATAGAGACTAATTATAACACATACAGACTAATTATAACATACAGAGACTAATTATAACATATACAGACTAATTATAACACACATATAGAGACTAATTATAACATATACAGACTAATTATAACATATAGAGACTAATTATAACATATACAGACTAATTATAACACATACAGACTAATTATAACACATACAGACTAATTATAACATATACAGACTAATTATAACTAATATAATATAGAGACTAATTATAACATATACAGACTAATTATAACATATACAGACTAATTATAACATAGAGACTAATTATAACACATAGAGACTAATTATAATATATAGAGACTAATTATAACATATACAGACTAATTATAACAGATAGAGACTAATTATAACATATAGAGACCTATTATAACATATAGAGACTAATTATAACATACAGAGACTAATTATAACATAGACAGACTAATTATAACATATACAGACTAATTATAACATATAGAGACTAATTATAACATATAGAGACTAATTATAACATATATAGACTAATTATAACATATACAGACTAATTATAACATATAGAGACTAATTATAACATATAGAGACTAATTATAACACATAGAGACTAATTATAACACATAGAGACTAATTATAACACATACAGACTAATTATAACATATAGAGACTAATTATAACATATAGAGACTAATTATAACACATACAGACTAATTATAACATACAGAGACTAATTATAACATATAGAGACTAATTATAACACACAGACTAATTATAACATATAGACTAATTATAACATATACAGACTAATTATAACATATAGAGACTAATTATAATATATAGAGACTAATTACAACATATACAGACTAATTATAACATATAGAGACTAATTACAACATATAGAGACTAATTATAACATATAGAGACTAATCGTATCTTCATATCAAGTTACATGAAGTTCAATTAAAATTGTCAAACACCGGAAGTCGATTGACCAATGTGTAGGGGACCAGATGAGACCAACGACAGTAGGTGTAGAAATCTAGTCCGTGTTTGTCTAGGCCCAATACCAGACAACATATAGTGTGTAAATATTTTGTGGGGAAAACCACACGATGCCTTTCGATGGGAAATAACGTGTTTTGACCTCAAACGGGTCATCTTTGTTAATGTTTTCCCCGGTAAAACACTGGTATCAACCGAAAGACAGTGTCACTGACCATGGCCTCTACCTGTACCCACGGCCCTCGCATGAACACATGCCTCGTCTGTCAATATTCCTATCATTTACGGATGGGTGTAAAAACATGAAGTAGCATATATGTATACGTATGTAGGTATTGTTACCTATATATATAAAGGTCAGCAATACCATACATTATGTACTACAGCTGTGGCAACATGCACAGGTGGCAATTACATACTGTAGATCGAGAACAAAGCACTACGTGACCCTGCATGCCTGACCCATGTAAATCGAGTGTGCCCCATCTTCTGGAACACAGGTACATACATACGTAGGTACATTAATTTGCACCTGTGATTTACCTGGCTACCGAAACACGTTTCCGTCGGTTTCTGTCACAAAGTTACAATTGTAAACAGACAAAATTCTTACCTGAGTCATACAAAGGCTTAGTTAATTTATCTCATCAGTTCAACATTAAAATTTCGAAATCAAAATCATATTTTAAGTTCCGCCTTTTTTGTATTTTTTATGTCGTGGTCAATTTAAGAAACAACACGAAAAGTTCTTTTGAAATGAACTGTTTTCTTATTTTCCATAAAGATGTCCGCGTTGAAGTGTTTACGTTTCGTTAAACGAAGTTAACAAAGCTTTCAAAAGTATAAGGTTTCTTGTTTGTTCGAAACTTGTTTCCTAAACTAGTAAGTATCAAATGTATTCGTGTTTCTAGTGTAAAGTTCAATACTGGATACCAAAGTTTATATAAAAAAAACCTTAACATAATGTTTATTGGAATCTAGAAAGCTTAGGTTTTTTTATCAAACTTTACAAACTTATGTCATTGTATATAAGACATCATCGCTCTGAATTTGATACTCCTATATCACAGAGACAGGGGTATCTCGTTTGTGTTCAATTCAATTGAATACTTTTTGCTCGTTTGTGATTTCAAGGTATATAACTTGAAGGCAAATAACAAACACGCGTAAACACACACAAGAAAGAAAAAAATAGATTTTATCAAAACTCCGACCTATACAGAATCCAGGCCCATTCTCCTCGGTTCAAGTGAAAATGTGTTTGCATATTATCAGGAACATAAGATTTATGAGAGATTTTGTGCCGTGTGAAGACTGATTTAAATCAAATTCATTATAGCTGTCCTTCCTCGTTTATGAATTAATACCAGTCGACAATTGAACGAAATATAAAAAGGGCTCAACTTATTCAAAGTCTATTCAACATAAATTCAATTATTATATTATTCAAAAGGCTTCAAATTTTAACTTATATTTACCGATCCGATTTTCAGCGAAATGTTGTAAAGGTCTTATTTAAAAAAACACAAAGCATTGTTAACTTAAGTTATTCAATTTCAAACATAATTTTTTTTATTTATTTATTTTTTTTAAGTTATAAGATTATGTATACAACGTGTATTTAAAAATCACAATTGGTTCACTCAATAATAATCGAAGAAATAATCGTCAAAGACGTTGAAAGCGAGTTTAATTGCCATTTCTTAAAGTTGATGAAACCACGAAACTCCTCCTGCCTGTAACATTACAATACCTGTATTCTTTTACCACCGGCATAATCTTGTTTAGTTGACTTTGACATTCTCTGACAACGTGGAAGCCAGACGATAGATGATTCATACAACAGCTTTCATAATGAAAGATTTAAAACCGGAAAACGGAAAAAAATACAGTAAAGTTTCTAGTCTGTATATGCAAGTCAGGACTACACTTATGGCTTCTGTACAGCTGTCAAATAACTCGACACCACTTGTTACTACTGCTCATTGACAAGACGTGAATGTACGCTAGGATACTCTTTAACATTTATACACATCTGTAAATATATATCTATTGTATTATGTACATACTTGTCATAGTTCATGCTCTCGGTACCTTTTGTATCGATCTTGGCTACATCTCATAAAAAATCACAAATGCATGTACACATTGAAACATGCGCCTGTGGTCACTGCACGTGAATTGACCAGTGTTATGGATTACACAAAATCAATACACAATCACGGAATCCAATCGCACTTGTTGTTCACCCCCGGTATCCCCTGCCCCCTGGGCTTACCTTAGCCTGAGCCTCCCGGGCTAGTCCAGACTTCGGGGCACGGTATTGTGCCATGGTGAGTTCTGTTCGTTTGCCAAACTCTGGGACAACTGTGTTGACACCTCGCGTTCGGCTGCTGATTTGCATATCACGTGACGTATTTGATACGGGATCTCTGTGTACGTTTATGTGTGTGTTGGTGTGACGCGTCTATTTCAGTGTAATATATACGGGAATGGAAAGGACAAATTAATGTTCCAATGACACGCATATCCAAAATTTAACGACGGAGACAAGCTGATAGAGGAGGCTCCGACGTAATTTTCAAAATTCCTGTATTGCAGTTAGTAGCCCGACACCCGTTATCTGGATCCTCCGAACTGGTGTCCGTGCTATCGTTGACTATTAATTAATATGCCATTTATAAAAATCAATCATCCCGTATGTGGACAGTGCTTCCGGAATGTAATGAACACCGGTCGGGATGGACAGGCCAGTTCTCAGAACTAAACGTAGCTAAAATATTTTCAACCCTCTTACTGAATCGTCTTTATTTTAAAATAGAAATTTTAGCTGTGCACCACGCAACGAAAGAAACAAGCAAGAATGAATGTTCTATTAGTAAAACCCCATACCAGTTCTCCGTAAACTAAACACACGTATTCTTCAGTTGTGATACTTTGACATAAATACGTTCTAATTGTTGAATGGGTGCGTGATTTTGGGATCATGTGTTGGTTGAATGATTGTCAGGCGTCACCAGGAACAATGATTTATACCGGCTATGTATAAACGTTATTTACATTTACCGTGAGGAAAATGGTACATGGGGGTAGGGGCGGGGGGATGGAGTTGATCTCCTTTAAAACGGTGCGGAACAAAGAACTTTGTTTTTAAAGTGAACTCTCACTAGTGACGTAAGAGTTATTTCCCTTCGCAAAACTTTAGCACAGGAGCGCACACATTTTCACACAATCAGCAAAGTTTTTCGATGTAAAGCAGGATACAAAGAATTCTCACCCCTGTTTTGATGAATTGTCGGAAACCGAATGTTTTCTTCAGCACTGAATAATATTGGAGTATCTAAATTTGTATGCGCTGTACATCATTAAAATCCATGATGTCATGTCGAAGCTTTATGCAGCATAATAAATTTCTTTTTCCCATTTAGAAATAGGATAAACATCTCCCCAGTGTCCCGGGGTTATTGTACAAATACATGTATGCACTGTCTTCCTGTCAATTTGACATGTATTTTGCACAGTTGTGCTATGAGGGCCGTGCAACGTCGTGCGAAGAAAGTATAATACATTGGAGTTACTAACAAGAAACCTAATGAAAATGCGCCATTGAAAAGTAAAATCGTTGGACAACATTATAAAAAAATACATTTACAAAATATGTATATCTTCTCTATCCATTTCTTTATCTCATTTCGTCATCCCCAAACACCACATGTCCTGTTTTTCCTCTCACAATCTATAACAGAGTCTCTACATTCGTCATGGCCATGTTTTGGTGAACACGTGACCGTTACCAATGTATACATGAAAAAGAGGATTTTGCGAGTTGAAATAAAACAGCGAGTATTTTCAAACCAACGAAAGAAAGGCAGATAATTTCTCCGAATGGCATTCAGATCTCCCAGAGTTACTGACTTTCGTTTCACTGCGACAGTACACAGTGGTAAGCCTGACAGCCGACAGGGGCCGCGAATAGCGAATGGCGGCGACATGTTTTGTCTGTTTAATCCAATCATAGGGTAAAATTAAACAATATTCCCGTTTTCTGTTCTTTTTTTTCTTTTCCCTTTTTTTAAATCAGGTGAAGATACGTATCATTGTAAAATGTTGACTTTTCTGAAGCATCAATATCTTCCGAAATCAGAATATCATGTATCCTCACCCGAAAGATGTTTATCCCATAAAGATCCTTTTTGCAGGTGTTTTTAAATTGATACCAGAATGACCGGTCGCTTCTTAGCCGCGTTTGATCGTTTAGGTAAATAAAAAAGACCCAGGTTACATTTCCTGACTAAATTTCAATAACACATGTTTCGCAGGTTTAATGATCGTGTGAAACATTTTATCGTGTTTATGCGAAACTTCATTTACTAGTACAGTCGAGTCGTGTTTTCACAGAAAACAGCTCAACCGAGACGGACGAATAAACATCGACGAAAACTTACATATTTGTTCGGTGATATGTTTAGATAATGAAATATTTTATATTCACTGAGAATTACCACGAAAAATCAGAAACTTCAGATTCCGAATAGTTTGCAACCAAACATAGTTAAAATTGACTTATTGAGTTATGTTATATGTCAGAAATATATTCTCTACCTGCAGTTTCGCCTGACTTCCGACAAGCACTGAAGAAGACATTTGATGTCAACATGTCTAATTACTGCTGTATCAATATACATGTTCCCTGATGAAACGATAAAGTTAGATCACTTATCACTTACCTTTTTCTCCTCGTCCCTAGCTAGCCCGGACTTGGGAGCACGAAGGTTTGCCATAGTGATTATGCGGAAGCCGGTACTGATTGTGAACAAGTTTGACAGGTTATTCATTCGTGTTGCTAAATTCTAGACCATCATCCATTCACGCGCTCCTGACTTAAGTAATTACGCCACAGATACGTCGGGAAATGTCGCTGATACATATACTTGTGTTTCTTCACTGTGGCGTGTTACCACGGGAATAATACATAATTGTGTCTTTTTTGTATACTTAATGTATATATATCTATGGTAGAAACATGTGTTGACAATATTTCGCGGTGTAGTATTCTAATTCTAATTTCGTTTTTAGTGTGCGATACTAGGGATTTTAAACACATTCTCCAAATTGAGAAACTTTCTGATTTCCACCATTATGTTCTTTTCGATGATCGAAATCAATCCTTCCTCGACAAATATTGTTGGTTGGGGCTTCTAAAACATTCAAATTAGTTAGTAACTATTCATTTATCTATCAACAATTGTTGCTTCCTGTCCAAGGCGTCTCTCCCTGTTCAGCTACTCTACATTGTATTTTTATTCCCAATCTCTCCTTCTTGTCTGTAGTCAAATGACAAGACGAAAAAATGGTACTCTATCAACATTATGATAAAATATTTGAGTTCGTTTATTATTGGAGTTATCGTCCCACGAACAGTCATTGTAGGTGGGGTCTCATTATAGTAGCTGGTGACTATCTCACTGAACATGGCGCGGAAGGCCCACCAACTGATATCCAGAGCCATTGTCAACGACAGCCCAGGACCATCCATTAAATCAGCTTCAATCTGAAATTTTATATGGGATCGATGTCAAAGATATGCAATGATCTGGCTCATTTTACTGAGGACACGATGTATACTGAATGGCTATTCTTACATCAAACCAGTTGGAAAGTTATGTATAATGATTCGATGACTACTCTGTCGCTTTCCTTAGAAATGAAGGTGACAGTGTAGTCATCAATATGTCACCTTTGTTGTGATATATATAAAAATATATATATATAATTGAGCACATAAGGCATGTGGAGCTATTGTAGAAAACGACAATACATGAATTGTGTGGATAGTGTTAAATATTCAAATATTTGTAGTATGCGATATTATTACCCAACACTGCATGGATTCGGGTTCAGAAAGTGCAACCATATGAAATTTTATGTGTGACGTTTCAGTGAGTTAGTATATGTAGATGAACCCTATTACCTTCACCAGACTAGTAACGCGTCTGTAATCTCAAGAGATAATAATTACAAAATTACAACCGAATCGTTAAACTAAACTAAATTATGGGACCCTTCATCTCGATTCAAAACTTATCTACTGCCATGTTTCCAGGCCTTTAACTGCCGGATGAATACGTTTTCCTAAGTCTGTTTTAAGTATTTAGGGACAATTACGTAGATGTTGATAGATGTGTACCATAAGATTATTTTTACGCCAGAGACTTCTCTCGTTCTGAGGGATTCGTGCTTTTCCTGGCGGATGCTGAGGTCATTCAATGATGGTTCTGTAGTGATAGTATAGATAGGGCTAAAACTCGCCAAAGTCACGGATAAAGGCCGACCCTTCGTCTCTGCTGAACACTAATGACTTTTGTCGAAAGCGGACGTAAAACTTGTCAAGCAACCAGAAGTGTCGATCAGGGAATAGAAAACTTAACTTCTTTGCTTGGTTTGACTGAAGTAAAACTTTTTTCCTAAGAGAACGAAGCACTAGAAAAGCGAATATATATATACATATGTTACGACAAAGTGATGAACTAAATAGCACAAATAAAATTCGCCTTTTACGACCATGCTATAGGGACAGAAAGTCCCATTTTACCCCCGACCTGAATACCAGTAAGGACATCTACATCCTACAGTAATCCACTTGATGAAGCAGCTTTCCTGTGTCCTGGTTACCTTATGTCCACCATCATCTATTATACTCCAGGAGTACAGAGAGTGAAAGTGATCGTAACCCTGGAGTGTCGAGGATGGTTCAAGGAGTGCAAAGAGTGAAAGTGATCGTAACCCTGGAGTATCGAGGATGGTTTCAGGAGTACAGAGAGTGAAAGTGATCGTAACTCTGGAGTGTCGAGGATGGTTCCAGGAGTGCAAAGAGTGAAAGTGATCGTAACTCTGGAGTATCGAGGATGGTTCCAGGAGTACAGAGAGTGAAAGTGATCGTAACCCTGGAGTATCGAGGATGGTTCCAGCAGTACAGAGAGTGAAAGTGATCGTGACCCTGGAGTATTGAGGATGGTTTCCAGGAGTGCAGGGTGTAATAATGATCGTAACCCTGGAGTATCGAGGATGGTTCAAGGGATGTAGCGAGTGAAAGTGATCGCAACCCCTGGAGTGTCGAGGATGGTTCCAGGGGTACAGAGAGTGAAAGTGATCGTAACCCTGGAGTGTCGAGTATGGTTCCAGGGGTACAGAGAGTGATAGTGAACGTAACCCTGGAGTATCGAGGTTGGTTCAAGGGATGTAGCGAGTAAAAGTGATCGTAACCCCTGGAGTATCGAGGATGGTTCAAGGGATGTAGCGAGTGAAAGTGATCGCAACCCCTGGAGTGTCGAGGATGGTTCCAGTACAGAGTGTAATAGTGATAGTAACCCTGGAGTATCGAGGATGGTTCCAGGGAAACAGACT